ATTTTTGAGGGAATTTCGACATTTTGGCTGTTTTGTTCTTGTGCTCGTCCGCAGCTTGAATTTCACAAGCTAGTGATTGTACACGCAGTTTCATTCCATTGTCAGCTAATTTGTTCAAAGAGGCCTATTTTCCGGAAATTCATGTCACCATCTATTCCTTATGATTATTATAAACTTAACAAGAATTCTGCACTTTTATACATACGCCATTGAAGAGATCGGTAATCAAAAATGCAGTAAAGGGGAAAACATGCTGAGACGCAAATACCCATACGTTATAAATGTACGAATCAACTATGATTTGTTTCTATTACTGAATCCCCATGATACCATTAAAAAAACCTCTAAATCTGTGAATCATCGTGACAGTTCGAGGCAGTTTTCCATACAAATTTACAAATAAATACAAGCAAAGCAGTAGGTAGCAAAAAGAGATACAACTTAAAAAGTTGTCACACGAAAGGAGTAGGGCTTTTTTGGTGATGTAGATATTGCACATGCGAGTACAGCTTGTACTAGAATCTCAAAAAATGACTCAAACAACCGTGCGGGCAAGATAGAGCTATATCTGCCACTAATTGGTAGATATGTATAGTTCTAATAAAGCCAAATGCATTGAATATGAATCCCAAGGAAATGATTGAAAGAAAATATGAATCGCTGGGACCAGTGAGCTAAAGCAATCACAACAGTAACAACATTGAAAGTGCAAGATAATAGTCATTTCTCGATCGAGTTTGTAGGCTTGCGACCGGGTTTTGGACTTCGACCCGTTCTAGTAAGCGCTGCTCTCGTCTTTGGGTCCGGAGCTGGAATTCGTGGGGGCGGACGTGTCGGCCCTGTTTTCGCTGGGGTTGCACTCACGCTTTTAGGAATTGATGATTTGGCGGCAAAAGTCGGCCTCGTCTGAATATTAGTCTTAAGAAACTGCCCTGAGAATGTGACACATCAAATTAAGTCGCACCTCTCTTAGAGTTCTCACCGGAACGGATCTGGCGGTCGTTCGCTGAGCTGCGCTTGCTAAGGGAGGATCCTTCACCATTGGTTTAACCACCGATTTCGGCTTTT